GGAAAGTGTGCATACATCTATTCTACTTAATCTAGAAACAAACGGCATTTGATGAATTTTTTTTCAGACCAAATTCGTGATTTTTCTTGTATGTTCTTTGTTGAAACACCAAATGATTATGACCTGTCACCAATATGTGTCGATCAAGCGTTGATTAACTAGTTAGGATGCTTCAAATGCTCCTTACATGTATGACCTTGACTTACGTTCAAGGTTACACAAGTCGTTGTGTCCTTACCTTAACACAATATACCGGTCATTACCCTAAAGCCATATACTTGAAACAAGAAGATAACATATTGGTTACTGGGAGGCCTTGAGACTTGACCCTATCCAAGGAAACGCTACCTCGGGTACATTAAGAACAAGTAAATTATTAATATACCTACACATAGCTATAAAACACACATATTCAATATATTAGGACTTATTTTGACTTCTAAGAACTTCTCAGACCTAATATCGTAAGTTTTGAAAGGCTGAAATATTCCATTCCACAATAACTTAAATGTCATCGCTGGACATGATTCAACCTTACTGTTATGTTGGCCTTGGTTTTTTAGTACGTCTCTGTAGATCTCATCCAATGAGCCCTAAAAAAGGAAAGATTCTACATTTGCTACAGTAGGAAGAATTAATTTTTTATCAAAATTCTTAGAAGGACAGTGATGTATATCAGAACCCACTATATTGAATTTCAATTGTGACGTCACAACCTTGTCATTTCGTATTACGACGTCATGAAAGAAATAATAAAGAATCCAATATTCCCATTTAATAAATTTCCACGTTTTACAAGGAATTTAGAAAATCGTAACAAATCCTTCATTTCACCTCACTTGACGCCCGCTAAAACAACATAGAAAATATTGACACTTCATGCATACTTATAACTACTAAGTTACTATAAGTACTACGGCGATATTGAATTCCAGCTATTTAAGGTATGTGAAGTACATATATATTGTAGCTTTGTTTTCTCATTCATTCACGTTACAACACCTACCTATCAAAAAACAACGGTAAAATATATTATATATATTTCAATATAATTAACGAGATTGTGTCCCTCGGCCAATTTGTCGGCGAGGTAAAATGCGATATCTGAATAAAAAAGATGTTCTCTTGGAAAATAAACAAAACAGACTTATAAACAATCAAACAGGAAGAATATATGATATCCTATATAGCAAGAAAAATTGATATAAGTGCCATTTTATATTAAAACGAGAATTAAATCTAATGATACCTCGCATGTCAGTTTTTTTTTTTTTTTTGCTTATTAGTAAAGTGTAAATTTATGTCCTTTATCCCACAAAATACGTATTTTCCCGATTAATTTAATTTTACAGCAAGCGAGCACCATTTATACCAGTATGTGATCAAGTATTCAATTGTTGCTAAAAATGTAAGTTAAATATTCATGGGTTGTTAAATTTAAGTGGAAGTTTACAAATTCACTAATTCTCAAAATTCAAATAAATTCTATCGTGATGATATCACTCTTCCTGAAGAAAGCGAAACTTCGCATACAGTGTTTGATAAAATTTCATTGAAACTCTTATCTTGATATTACAGGGAAGACTATCGTTTCCAAAAATCAAACAGCGTAGATGTTCAGGCAGATAGTGATATTCAGCTTGATAAACATCTCCTAATACACACATGCAACAATTAGTCACTGGTAATAACGATTCCATAATCAATATGTGGTATTAGAGAAGTATGTGTCAAAAGAAAACGTGCATTATTTCAATAACAATGTTAAATAAATAAATTAAAAAACAAAACAAAACAAGAAGAAAAAAACTAGTCATGTCTGAAGAGAATTTAACAAAGCATACAGATCTTGAATTAATTTCTAAAAGTCGTAGGTTTTTACCTTGAAATAACAGAAAAAATAACTTTACTTCCCAAAGTCCACTTTTTCAGCATCGTGGGATCTAAAAGCAAAGCTTTAAATCAAAAGATACACCGTCGCTTTCGAAGGCGAGAAAACAAAAAACTTATACAAATGTATATATATTACCACGGGCTTCGGTATGTGACATCACCAAATAATAGCAGATTCGCCTCCCTTGACGAGCAACTTTATCAGAAACAGATTTATCTCCCTTTAACTGAGTATCGTATTGTTAAATATACATTTATATGGCAGTAATTTTTTTCTTTTAAAAAATTAATTTTATGTAATACGCAAAATCAAACCCGAAAATAAGCAAGATATATGACACGGAAAGGTACTATTCACAAACAAACGTACACAGACAGGTCGATCGCAGTTAATAACTGGAATCCGAATGAAATAACAGAATAGAGGCGTGTATTTTTCAATGACAGGATATTTATTGTATATGGCGTTTTTACCAGAAACATATGTATCAAATTTCAGAATTTTTTTAGCAATATGTTATGTTTAAACTAAATCTTGTTTACCGGGGTTACAAATAAAAACCTGTACTCAAACGATTTTCTATGAACTACACTTAAAAATGTAAAGTAAAATTCAAGTACTTTAGACATGGTGTCCCGTTTCCGTATTACATCAAATCCGATCTCCTAAATGTTATGTTGTAAAGTTACATAGGAAAATTGTTGCAGGACAAAAAGTTATATACTAGTATACTGTACAGCTTTCTTCCCAGGGACATATAGCCGGTTCATCTCGGCCATTATTTCGAGTTTCTCATTTATGTTAATTTAACTGAAATTAGCTTCTACTATTTTTTAAAAAAAAGTTTAGTGCCTTAATTTTGAATTCACTATTAAAAACGTATGTTTTGTGCATCTTTTAATCTACTGTCAAATATAATGCGTTATTATTATGTGTCAGGTTTGGTTATTTTTTTCAAATATTTGGTCACGACAGAGGAGGCTGTGTATCAAAGATTTCTAACTACCCTATCCCCTGGTTAGCGAATTCTAGTTTCTGCTCAGTTCAAGTCAAAACATTAATTATGTATACATTCTTAATCGATCGTTCATATTACACAATATACGTCACAATTGACCATTAATTGATATATGTCCAGTGTCTACACTGTTTACGTCATAACTGATCGGTATTGTTTGTCACCTTTTACAAACTGATGTACGTCGTAATGGATAGTTAATCAATGACTGTGGCCACCAACTCTGGAGGCAAGACTTACCGAATCCATCATTGATGTCATGTACAAGTCATTCAGATGTCCTGAATCATAAGTCGGGGACGGAGGCCGCAATAACTCTGTACACAGAGACAAAAAGCTGCCTGTGTGTTGTCATTGTTTTGACCCTTGCCTGTGCAAGGAGCTATAAAATGTAAAATAAAGTCGGAGATTTTTTTTTCATGTTTTCATGAAGGTGAGGGAAGGGAACCTCTGACTCTTGCACCAGACCACTTGTGGCCCCATTAAAATTGTAAATGCCATGTCTGACCCGGCCCTTTTGGGGCCAGGACCAAACTCACCAGGGTTATGTAGGATCTACTTTTGGCCATACTAAGATTATGATTTTCTTGTGATGATAACCGTTGCGACAATTTGTCGGTTAATGAAAGTTTTATGGTATTGATGTGTAAATAGATTAATTATAACTTATGTGAATGTGACCTACTTTCTCCGTTTTTGAGATTTAAAAAAAATTAAATGATAAACCCTGATACTTGTTTAACAAAACATTAAAAAAAAACCTAACACTCCAATGTAAAGTTTTTAAGTACATCCCTGCTTATCAGCCCTCAAATTTTCTTTGAACCCACACAAAATCTGATGTTTTGAATAGAATATTATCACTGAGCGGTGACGGAATGGCATGATGGACTGGCATGAACTGGCATCCTTCATTTCAGAAGAAAAAAGGTGATATAATACCTTTGTTTTATCACATGTAGGAATACAATTTGTTTTTAATTGCTTTCATGAAGGTGAGGATGAACTGACATACATACCCTATATTCCCGGCTATTAACCAATTTTTCAAGATTTTTTTAACCTGGAAACAATATGGTATTTACATGTTTTAGATAATGCTAAAACCAGAAATTATAGAATGAAAAACTGATATTAATACAGAATATTGTTTAACTATATCCAAACTTGTACGACAATCAATAAAAAACTTGAGAGGACTACAAGTTATCCTTATATACATAATACCTTGCGCTTATTCTGTTAAATGTTTACTATGGTGGGTGCCACCAAGCATTACAATGGTCCAAATGAACTTGTGACCACTTCTGCTTAAAATCCAAATGTAACTACAGCGTTTGTTTTGCATTAGACAAGGACTTTAATTGAGGTTATTTTTCCAGTGTCGTCAGCAACGGCCACGGTGTCATGATTTGCATCAAACATGAAGTTGTTAGATACAGTAATTACAAATACTTTTGTCCCCAAATACGTTTTATAGTTTTATCTAAGCAATAGGTTCTCGGAACATAATTTTAGTCTATACTTGATAGTTCATTGGAATTGTTAAGTACCAAACTAACCTTTCTATCGAAGGACAAGTGCTGTTATAATCAAACATTGAATATACTTACATATAAGTATGGCCATCCTAAACCACATTTCACACAGATTCTGAATTTTACTACAATATACTGTTATTTGAACTTTTTAATTTTACAATGTCATCATTTTTCACTTAGATCAGACTTAAGCCAAAATTCTGACTAAACACATTTATCACAGACTTGCAGAAGCTAATTTACATCCTACCGTTTAATGGTAATTGCATTTTTTAAATTGGTCATTGAAATACAACATGCTTGCTTAAACCTGATAAAATAGGGAAAATACATGCGAGACATAAAATCACACATGCTTCTTGTTCAGGAAGGAATCATATTTAATCCTCTCCATTTTTTCTCAATGTTTTTTTTTTTTTTTTTTATTTTCATTCAAAAATGCTCCAGACAAAACCAAGTTGAATTTGTTTAACAGATCTGATTGAAGTAAATTTTCAAATGAAAAGCAAACAACAAACAAAAAAAAAACATCAAACAACAACATCAGTTAAAACAACAACATCTTTTTAATGTATAGTTAGGTGTCGGGTTTTTTTTCTCAGATCAGGCTAACTATCATCACTTTCACTGCTATCTAAACAGATAGTTTCTCCATTAGAAATAGCATTTGCTGAGATTCTCATGAGATCTGTGTCTTTTGTAGTCTTGGAAATCTTCTTTTTCACTGATGGTTTCTTCTTAGTTTTCTCCTGACAGAAGTCAAGGTCGTCACTGTCTGTATCACTGAAAGCATATTTCTTCCTCTTTTTAGACAATGGGAATTTGCCTGCTACATCACTTCTAGTGATACCACACTGAGATTGCGATCTGTCCTCAGCACCCGATGATTTCTCTCGGGTAACTACTTCCAAATCCTCATCAGAATCTGTACATTTACTGCAAGTTTGAGGCTGTTTAGAGGTCACATCAATGTCATCTGGTTCATCTGTTAATGTGGTGAAGTGAGAATTTTGTTTGTTGATGATAACTAGTCTCGGTTTTTCCTGGTTGGCAGATGACTTTTGTTTTGCCGGAGAAGAAATTGTTCTTTTCACACCTGCGGATTTTGAATCGGTTGTGGAGGATAATTTATCAGGGGTAGAACTGGTTTTTTTCAGTTTTAATGGTTTGGAGTCTGATGAATCAGTGGTAGTCGAGGCTTTCTTCTTTCCTGGGAATTCCATACCAATCTTTACACTTCCACTTTGTAATAATCTGCTTTTTGCACCTGAAATAAGAAATTATTTTGAGATCAAGCATTGTACAAATAAAATAATCAATCCTGTAAAATAAAATATAAATACCCATGTACCCATGGAAACCGTCTGTATATAAACATTATCAACGTACCTATAATGATCTCAAACACATAGAATACTAGGGTATACAAATAAAATCTACCCACCAAGTTTTCTAGATACATAGATAGATTAATTCTATTTTTATAAAGTAGGATTTTACAATCCTGTAAGTCAGCTCTGAAATGACAATGTGTACTTTAAAACATTGTAACATTAACAGTTCAAATATTTTCCTTAAAGAAATATTTTTGTGGTTGATATTTCCAGTATTCATGTCATTTATATACCAACTGCTTAATGGTGCTTGAATTTACAACATTTGACTGAGGGTTGTTCCATACATCGACATTTCTTTGTGTAATCAAAAATTTTCTAATATTTAATCTAGAAAAATTATTTTTTTCATGTTGATGAATCTTACTTCTTTTCTAGTTTCGTTTCTAATTATCTATAAGAAGTTTTATAAGGGGTATGACATAATCCTGGGTTTATCTTAAATAGGAGAAATACAACCCATTGTGGAAAAAGAGAAATTTTTGGCCTTTTTTGAAAAATGGAGAAATCTCTGATAGCCCTCTTTGTCAGAATTGAGGAGAGAAATGGAGTAAAGATAAATGACATACATGAATAGAATATCACAATATTGGGGTTAAAGTTGATATTTCAATTTTTTTTCATGATGGCAAAATTTGAAAAATATAATAATTTAAATATATTGATTAGCTCTGTTTGGGAAAAGCGTCCTATCTTGGGGAAATATGACATACATGAATAGAATATCACAATATTAGGGTTAAAGTTGATATTTCATTTTTTTTTTCATGATGGCAAAATTTGAAAAATATAATAATTTAAATATATTGATTAGCTCTGTTTGGGAAAAGCGTCCTATTTTGGGGAAATATGACATACATGAATAGAATATCACAATATTAGGGTTAAAGTTGATATTTCATTTTTTTTTTCATGATGGCAAAATTTGAAAAATATAATAATTTAAATATATTGATTAGCTCTGTTTGGGAAAAGCGTCCTATCTTGGGGAAATATGACATACATGAATAGAATATCACAATATTGGGGTTAAAGTTAATATTTCATTTTTTTTCCAAGATGGCAAAATTTGAAAAATATAATAATTTAAATATACTGATTAGCTCTGTTTGGGGAAAAAGCGTCCTATCTTGGGGAAATATCCCAATGTTTTCAATATATTCAGAGGGGAAAACATAGTGAATACTATCCTTTCCCAGAAGTAAAATTTGTCTAGATTAATTAGTCTGGTAACTACCTGCGACTAAATAACTAATGGTGGAGTATGCAGTGAAGTGGAAATCTTCCTTTATATAACCGTTCATCAGTAGGTGGGAAAGGATTCTTTCCAGCTTGTCTCGTGAGATGTTTGGTTGAGGGATATCCTTCACTCTTAAGGAGCTAGCACCACGACCTTCCCAGGCATCCAACAGTTTGGCTGCTGTAACACGTTGCTGAGTCTGGGCGGCATGATCTAGGATGGTCAGGACATTCTGACATAACTTGGTAACATCTCGTTTCTCAGGGGTCACTGCATCCAATTAAAAAATTTAAATCATTCATAAAAGATTGAACTAACAAGGGATTGTAAACAATATGAAACATCCTGTCATAAAACCAACTTATTAATGTAATACAATAAATCCATCATATCAGTCAACAATACATGTATATTAAAAATGAAAAAAAATCTGTACTATGTAGACCGAGATGTCGTAAATTACACTTCAAGACACAGAGATTTGATTTTCGACCTTGTGAGATCAAGAATTATTAAAAGAAAATGGCGAGAAAACAATTTTTTATTAATGATTAGATAACAGCTTTAGATAGTCGAGTAATGATATCATAAATTTATTTCATAGTACAGTGACCTATATCAGACCTGTGGTTTCATTTGTAAGAAAATATTCTTATTCTCAATAAGGCATCAATATCCTTGTAATACTAACTTATCTATGCTGATAAAATGATCAATTCATACCTGACAATTAACAGACTTCTTTTTCCAGCAACCAGCTTTTAATGAAAATTTATAAATTCTAAGCCTTAAGATGATCAAACTCTGAAGTAAAAAATAGTGATACTCAAAATTGTCCAATTTCTTACAGTCTGAGGCAACATTGACCGTTGATAAATCAGTTTCAACAGTGCAAAGACGCAAAGTTTGTCACCTTCAGAGAGTGTAAAAATGTCTATACTGACCACGGTAAGTTTGTCACCTTCAGAGAGTATAAAAATGTCTATACTGACCACGGTAAGTCTGTCATCTTCACAGAGTATAAAAATGTCTATACTGACCACGGTAAGTTTGTCATCTTCACAGAGTATAAAAATGTCTATACTGACCACGGTAAGTCTGTCATCTTCAGAGAGTATATAAAAATATCTATACTGACCACGGTATGTGTCGTCACAATGGTCACACATCTTGTTACATTGCGACCTGTCCCAAACCTCACCAAAGTGTCGAGCTATCATACTTCTCCTGCAACTGTAATGAAAATCATAAGGATCTGATCACACAAACCTACATTACAGAAATATTTGAAACATAATCTCACAGCAAGATTTAAAAACTAAGGTATTTAGTTCATCAGCATACTTACAGTCATATGATGGTATATTGAAACATTTATTGTGATATACCTGTACAATAAGACACTTGATGACATGTGTCTGTACAAAAAGACACTTGATGACAAGTGTCTGTACAAAAAAACACTTAATGACAAGTTTCTCTACAAAAAGACACTTGATGACATGTGTCTGTACAAAAAGACACTTGATGACATGTGTCTGTACAAAAAGACACTTGATGACATGTGTATGTACAAAAAGACATTTGATGACATGTGTCTGTACAAAAAGACACTCGATGACAAGTGTCTGTACAAAAAGAAACTTGAAGACATATGTCTGTACAAAAAGACACTTGATGACATATGTCGACAGCAAGACATTTATTGTGATGCGTCTGTCAGTAGAGAAAGACACTTGATGAGAATATCTATAACAAGACCCTTGCAAAGATATGACTATACAATAAAAATTTTGAATAATAGGGCACTGACTATGAAATGGTTGTAAAATAAGACACTATGATATGGTTGTACAGTAAGACACTATAATATGGTTGTACAGTAAGACACTGATATGGTTGTACAGTTAGACACTTCCTATGAAATGGTTGTAAAGTAAGACACTATGATATTGTTGTAAAATAAGACACTATGATATGGTTGTACAGTAAGACACTATGATATTGTTGTACAATAAGACACTATGATATGTCTGTGCAGCATTAAGACATTTAATGTCATACCTCTGGACTAAAAAGGACTCTTGATAAATATACCTGTACATTAAGACACATCCTGTCATATATCTGTTCATTGAGACACTTACTGTCAAAGTATCTAATACACTTACTGTGATATATCTGTACAGTAAGACACTATGCCATACAAGTTGTCCAATCCTGTCTGCTCTGTAAAAACCATGGTGCTCTGTCTGAAGACATCTTGTAATCTGTAGAAGATAATGCAGTGGGCGACTTTGTCGTCACGACCAGCACGTCCACTTTCCTGGTACAGATTCTCCATGGACTTGCTGAGGGAGTGATGAATTACAAACCGCACATCTGGTTTGTCTATTCCCATTCCAAATGCTACTGTGGCCACCACAACCTACAACAGCCAAATTGGCTGGTAAATTATTTTCATGGAAGATACAGTAAAATCTCAATTTCTCAAACTCACATTACTAAAATACCGATGACAAGTCAATCTGATTGCTTAGTCTCAGGCGTGTCCTCATATTTTACGCTACTTAAGCTTGGATTGTCTGACCAGCTAATTCTCGAATACCCAGTACTTATCAAACTAATTTTTAACCCAGTCCTTTCATTTTCATATCATAAACACATCTGCCACATAATCATTAACATTTATGAATGTATTCTTAACTTTCATTTTTGCTATTCAGTCAAGTTGTTCAAGTATTTTTGATTGACAGAGAATGTCAATCACATCATTCAAACAGAACTTTTTCTCATGTACAAAAAAAACATACTGAATGACACAGGGTTTTCCATAATTGTGTTAGTAGCAGGATGTGTAGTCAGGGTTTTCCATAATTTTGTTAGTAGTAGGCTGTGTAGTGAAAGTAGGAGACTGGCCTTCCATGTACGTGTAGTCGTGTACGGAACATTATTACGGAACTGGATTGGTGTATGCGGCCAAATGGTCAAGGTAGCCGGTCAAATTGGCCGGCGACTGGCTTTTATGGAAAACCCTGATGACAATATCAAGTGACAGAATAAAGATGGGTCCTGAACTCTACACTGGAAATATTTCTTTTACCTTTTTCTTTATGAAAAATTTATGCAAATTATTTTGGTTGAAACCTAACGTCAATAAGAAATAATGTCCTTTATATCAAAGAACTGTTACATCATTTTGTTGATCTGTATAATTAACATATCTATGAAGTGTGAGGTTGTCGAGTATAGCATGTGTTTATGCAGTTTCCTATAATCAGATGTCTACCTGTATTGCTTGATCAACAGTTTAAATTCTCAAAATATTATTGTAAATATTAACATGTCATCCCTATGAAAAAGAAATGTTTTAATTACTAGTAAATCAATTTAGGACACAAGTCACTCATGAGAAATTATCTTCTGAAATACGTTGTATTCCTCAAACAATTTAAACGGTTCTTCAGTGTTTTCTTGTTCGTCATTCTTAATTGAAATTGTTCGAAACAAAATTATTAATATTGTTCTTAACAAAGAAAATAAATATTTTTCTAAAAAAAAATTGGTATTGTTCAAAACAAAAAACTATTGATATTTTTTCTAAATGAAAAAAATTAATATTGTTCTAAATGAAAATGTCAACATTTTAATTTTTGATTTTTGAACATGATCTTCATGAAATCAAATTATCATTAACATGTTTATGCTTCATTACAAAAATATAAAACATACAGAATACTTTTATACATAATGATAAATTGTACAGGTGTACTTTTAATATGCATGGTATCATAAAGATAATTTAAAGATACATGAATGTTTCAGTGATATAAAATAAAAAACACAAATATATCACTAACCTACCTGTATTTTGTTAGAGAGCCACATTTTGTGTACACTGCTGCGCTGTGTAGCACTCATATCTGAATGATAGCTGCCTGTCTTTATTCCTCTCTCCCGTAATCCTATAGCAACGTCTTCTGACTCCTTTCTTGAGAAACAGTATATGATACCTGTACAACAATAAGGATAAACTTATAAACATGTAAAGTAGGTTTGAAGAAAAATTCACACCAATAAGCTGAAGGTCAATTAATCCTATATATCAGATGGTTTTGAAACAAATCCAGATAGTTGTCTTTCTAAAGAAAACTTCAGATAAATACTTTATCTGAATGTTTATCAGTTAGAAACTTTTTTTTTCATAAAATAAGGGATAATCATGAAGTGATTTAAAAATTCAGATGAAAATTCATGAATGGTTTGTGACTGAATGTTTATTTGTCTGGTAGAAATAGTAAGCCATGATCTTGAAACAATTGGCAGTTCCAGAATATGACAATATAACAGCTTAAGCAAAACAAAAGGCCCATGGGGCCTTGACAGTCATCTGACATAAAATACAAGATTTCAAATTTTGAACTTGAGAAGAAGTCGAAAATGTGTTTTCAAGATGGCAGCCATGGCGGCCATGTTGAATTTCAGACCAACCCGATATTAACAAACTTTGATCAGGATCATGTCAGGATCATTTCAGGTAAGTTTCAGCTCAATGAGACATGTGCAACTTGAGAGAAGTTGAAAATGTTTACGACAGACGCCGGACGACGCCAGACAAAAGGCGATCGCAATAGGTCATCAGACCCTTCGGTCAGATGACCTAAAAGAGTAGACCATAAATTATGATATATCAACAGTTTCTCTAATCTCACCATCTATAGCACTACACTTATACAAATTAAGATTCAGAAAATGTTAATTACCAATTAAAACCCATTCTGAAAATATCTGAATTTTTCATAAAAACAAATTCTTGACTCTATTTATATGTTTATTCCTTGTTAAATGGAAATTAAACATGAATCATCAAAAGACACCTATAACAATGCATATCTCACCTGACATGCCATCAAACTTTTTCTTTATCAATTTCTGGATTTCGTCCAGAGCATCTTTACTTCCAGATGGTTTTGGTCGGATCTGTATAAAAGCAACAATTTCAGTCTCATTTCTTCTACATATATTTATCAACTGATAGACCTATTTCATTGCAGACATGTATGACAAAATGAACAAGCATACTGAGTATTGATGAAGCAATACATGTCACCTACCAGCCCCCACAAGCTAGAGAGAGCCCTGTATTGTCCCCTACCAGCCCCCACAAGCTAGATACAGCCATGTATTGTCCCCTTTCAGCCCTCACAAGCTAGCGTCCTAACAATGATTTTCTAAAGATATTGACACTGACCTTGACCCAACAACCCTGAAACTCAATGTCATCTAAGATAACTTGATGCTTCATAATTTTGTGAAGAGGGATGAAAATCTCTCAAGTCGCTAGAGCGCTAACAATTACTTACTAAAAACATAGTCACAGGTACCTTGACATTAAAATTTTTTAAAGTAATTTTGATGCTTAACAAGTGAGTGAAGTTTGGTGGGAATCCCTCTTGGAATGGAACTTCTACAGTGCTGACAAACTTTCACAGACACAAGGACAGATGGATGGAGAGGAAAAAATATGTCCTTGACCGACCCCCAACCTCAAATCCTATCCAGATTTGTTCTCACAGTTTAACCTAGAGCAATAATATCATCAAAGACAGAGGTGATAATAAAGGAAATTAGATGCAGTTTCAGGCTCTGGCCAAATTCGGCCACATCCATATCAACTACCGGTAGTTAGGAAATTCTCTTTTAAGTACTGCACCAGACAGCTACTTCAATGAGTAATTTCATTACTGCTGACCATACTGGGTTAGATTCACATGGACACATGCTAGTTAGACCCTGGCTGTTAAAAATTCCCCCCAGTAACAATGGAGTATAAATTTGATGTGCATTATTAAATCCAAATAAACAGGTAATTAGCAGTAGATATGGTCTAGTTTGTTTGTACCTCATAATACAGGTTAGGTCTGTTGAAGGAGGCTTTGAACACAAGGCAGTGAGGAATACTGAGGATTTTCTTTACATCTTCCAAAACGTTGGTAGTAGCAGTGGCTGTGAGGCCCAGAATAGGCACCTCTGGAAACTGTCTTTTCATGATTCCCAGGAATTTGTAGTCTGTCACAAAAAAAAAAAAAAATAAATAAATAAAAAATAAAAAAAATTAAAAAATCTGCAGATTTATCCTGTACTGTTTTCATCATGATAAAACATGTATTCTATAACTTATGCAGAATTTTCTTCTACTGTAAAGGTTGTTATATCTAGAGGGTTCTATATTTGCAATATTAAGGATGAAATATAATTGAGAAAAATATGTACTGTGAAAATTCCATAGATACAAAAAAATATAGTTTGTTTTATGCCATAAATAACATCCTTTCGAAAACAACAAAAGTTTGCATCATCAGTAAAAACAACCTTTACAATTAGTCATTAAGAAACAATTAAATTTTTTTTTATTTGATATTCAAATCATAGATAACATGACTACTCTTAATCTTATTGATGGTATCAAAACTATTAAAGTAAAATGTGTTGGTTATACAAATCTCTTTTGTTGTATTTCTGGTTACAATGCATTATATCAACGACAACAATGAAATTGAATTTTAATATGCATATCATTTAGGGAAGTGAATAAATCTAACATTACCTGGTCGAAAATCATGTCCCCACTGTGAACAACAGTGAACTTCGTCAATAACAAGTCGAGAAAATCGTCCCATTTGGTACATTTTTTCCAGTTTGTTCATGAAGCGTTTACTCTTCGCTAGTTTTTCAGGAGTAACATAAAGTAGTTTGAGCAAGGAATTTTTGTCCACCATTGAATTCTGTATTGCTGTTGCTTTATGTCTGTCCACAGAAGCATTTAACATGGTGGCATCTACCTGTAATGCTTCTAGCGCCATCACTTGGTCCTCCATCAGAGAAACCAAAGGGGAGACAACCAATGTCACACCTACAGAAACAAAAAGCAAATATTCAAAAGAAGTCGCAACCAAAAATTACTGAGCCCTTTAAAACAGAAATGATTGTTTATGAAAAGATCTAGTAGTCTTATGTTGTTTTCCAGTTAGCTTTATCAAGCTGAACTGTAATGCATATATTTCTAAATCTACAAATCTTGACTACAACAATTAACATACAATGACAAATTGCGTTGAACTACATTTCTGACGAATGGCCTGGAGAAGTAAGAAACCTTGAGAAATAAAAATTTATCAGTTCATGAATGCAAAAGGACAGCTAATATCACAAACACATTTACAAACGCATATGTATATTCTCTTTTTTCTTTCTAAAACAAAATTCCATTTACCTAGTATCTTTTTGTGTGTGTTACAGTTGCCCATTATCATAGCTTCAGGCAAATACTTATGAAAGCAGTTTTGAAGGTTATAAAGAATGATTAATGTGTCAAAGAGAAGGGGAAGGGAGTTATGAGATTGATACCTTCAAATAGAACTTGTTTCCAATGTACCTGTACCTGTATGTGTGAGTATATGAGTATTTCTCTGTACCAGGAAGCTGTTGACTCAGTATTGATATCAGTCTGACATTATCCATTATAATGGACACAAGGATTAATTTTTCTGTGTGATTTGTGGATTTTTTGCTAAAAAATCATGAAACTAAATAATGGATGTTATTGATATTTTAACATAAATATTAGGAGAAGATTAGAAAAATCTGAAAATATGGTTAATAGGATAACTCAAGCATCAGTTGTAGAAGGAGAAAAGGCTGGACAGAAAAGGAAATCTGTTCCATTGTTCAGGAAAATGGGAAAAACGATCAGTTGTACATTTTGGGTGAAAAAGTTTTAAATGCAGGCTAAAACCATTTTCACATATGAGACATTTTCACTCCCTAAGTACTTCAAGAATTTCCTGTGTCTATATATCAAAGAAATACACAACTCCTGAAAATCACATACTTTCCTACGGAAAAAGAGAAGGGGAGATGTTTAACAGTCTCATAGAATTTTACAACTATGCTGCCAACAGTGTGAAATATGTGAAATTATAATGGCGTCGTTAAATGCACATGTGTATATATATTATAATATAAACTGATCCTTTTACTAAAGCATTACTAACATATTAATTATCTCCCCTTTTCTTACAGGTTTGTGACATCCGTCAACCAAACACAGTCCTTTCCATGTTCATGTAATCATAGTTATCCCTTCTCTACTTACAGAAACCTTTGGCAAGAAATTTCAAAAGTAAGCATTTGGTGTTTTATGTATTATAATTTAGCCCATCACTTATTTCACATAACTATAAACAATACAACAACTCTCATATGTCAAGCTTAACCACAAACACAAAATGAAATAACAGATTGCTTGATGTAACACTTGAGGACGACTAACTGGAACATGACTAACACTCTCTTTTTCTACTTGCCTTTTGATAAGAGAGCAGGTAACTGAAAACATAGACTCTTGCCACCCCCAGTCGGCATGATCAGCATAGCATCCTTTCCAGACATGGTCACATTCATTGTCTGTAGCTGCATTGGACGCAAGCATTTGATATTGAAGATACTTTTCATCTTTATCTGCAATTCTTCACTCCATGAAAAGTCTGCAACACATGCAATTACAGGTCAAAATCTTAAGATTACATTTCTTATCAAATCTTAGCAATGAAAATACAAAATGTCTGCAAGATATGAATGCCTTGTCTCACATTTTTTTTTTTTCTAATTTAATCTATTCAAGGAATTCTCAATCTTGATATATTTACCTGTAGAGTCCCATTTTGTGTCAGTCTGTTGTATAAGAGCACTCTGCTCAAGTATGGATTCAATTTCATCTTTTCTTGCAAGAAGAGAAGACTGTCTGTTTAACAGGTCCTGGATCTCACCCTCAATATGAGCTAATTCTCTGGTCACATCTTTTAGCTCTTGTTTATAAACTATAGAAAAATATAATACCATGAACAAAAACTATTAATCAATAATAAATAACACTTCAAAATATCTTGTTGAATCCAACCACAGGAGTCTATGTTCAATCTATAAAAATCTATGATAATCCTTATAAAAAAAACCCTGTTGCGTACTATGATAACAATTATTCTTCATTATATTTTATGGGATATTCTTATATGGATTATCATATATTCTTATTGAGTGACCTCTGTTTGCCAACAAAGAATTCAAGAAATTGCATAATCATTATCATTTAACAATTAACCTTTGAACACATTGGTGTGATGGACAAAGTGACAATCCTTAAAATGAGACATAGGATCTTCCAGTTTAAATTTTCATGCTTGTTTCAAAACAATTAAAATTGCATGCACAACTGTTATGTATCAAGGAAACAACATGATATGAGAATATGTATAATCATGGATCTATATCTGGGTCTGTAAAGAAATGTTTGAATATAAATAAAACTAATGGTCCATCGGGCCTCTACCACTCACTTGACTTTACTTTATCCAAACTAAAGGTGAGAATTCTGAGATTTATATTTAGTTTTCCTATTATCCATTGGACTCACTCCATTGCCCCACAGTGGGTCTGCTAAACTGTTTTTACAAAAGTATTCTTCACCTAAGAATCCCTGTTTATACTAAACTGATTCCTTTTCGCCTAAGGATGCGACAGATCCTGGAATTTCCATAAACAAAGAATTTTATATAATATGCTTAATGTCTCCTATTGGGCCCCGCTCCCATCGGGAGCGAGCCAACGTTTATATCATATGAAAATTGATCCCCTTACACTTACGGATCCCGGATACTTAAGCTGTTCAGATTTAATAGAAGAAGAATATTAAAGAATTTGGTTACTTTCTCCTTTTGTGTGGCCTCTCATGTGACACGGAATGGGGAGATACCCATCATTTATGCAAAAACGTGTTTCCTTGGCCTTCTCCCAAGGATGCTTCTGACCAAATTTGGTCAAATTCCAATTAGTCGTTCACGACCAGTTGCGTTTTTTTTTTATTATTGAAAATGTAGTTGTACGACAGACGATGGACGGACTATGGAAACCGCGGTATGGCACTGACTAACCGGTACTTCTGACCAGGTCATCTAAAAATGATCTAGGGTATCGTTTGAAGAAGAAATTCGCTGTCTTACCTTCCATTGCAACGTCCAATATTTCTCAATGTCGTTTGTGCTCTTCATGCTTCTGTACTAAATAATAAAACATTTTATAGACACTGCTACATGTCTAAATTCAAGTTCCAACAGCGTTCATTGTTTTCCGGAATGTCTTGTTTGAAATGTCTATTTCATAGATAATAATGAAAAAATACGTTATGAATTAACTGGTCATTTAACTAGTTATACACATGTAGACATATGCCTTTCTAACTCCGGGAAAACATATTTGCATATTTGATAACTGTACAACGGCATGTAGGAGTTATTCCCCTTCGTCCACATGCTTTCAGGTGTTCGTACCATTTCAGATTAAAATTTATTTTTACCCGTCACGAGAGCAATACAAATTATATAAGGCATCTAATTTAGCGGTGGAAAACATATATTTGCACCGCATGAACTTTAACTAAGATATCTTATCAACAAATACGATATCTGAAAGATAAATTAGATATCTTGAAAATAAGAGAATATTTAATAAAGAAGATTTACGTATTTTTTTTTTTTAATTTTATCAATAAATGACAACTTGGTTTGGCATAGGTTCTGTAGTAACGTGCTACAAATCTTCATCGAAAAAGTTCTATTTAGAAATAAGAGTAACCGTGTCCCCATGTCATCATAGCGTGTGTGCTCAAATGGGATTCTGGGTGAAGGACATCTATGTTTCAGTGTCACACATTGGCCAATAACAAGCGACTAAAACTTGGCGTGGATGATTTTTTATATTCTAAATGTCGCTGTGTCGCTGGATTTAAATACGAACACACGAGTATTCAGCATTAGCCTAGATGTGTGTATGGCTGTGGTCTTGGTTGTTTTTAAACAGTCTGGAAAATGTAACTTAACACCAAAATAAAATTTCTTGTTTTGGTTTCCTACCCTGACCTATCGTTGAACTTGTATGCTATTCACCTATATATGTGTATGATATTCAGGGTTTGGCAGTAATACGTTGTTAGAAAGTGCATCAATATGAAACATTGTAAGGAAGCAGATGTAAGCCCCTGGATAGACAGAAACGTTGGAAAGTCCAACCGTTACAGAAACGAGAGAAATGAGAAACAAAAAGGAATATCAGCGAGTAGTGGAGTTTTCACGTTAAGTATCGATGGTCTTCTTCGGGTCTATGTAAGACGGTAATGTGTAAATTAGGTACAAAATGGTTCATATCTTCAAATATCAATTTTAAAAGATCGTTTGCAGCCATCCCGAATAAACAATTTGGATCATTATGAATATATCTATAAAGTTTCATCAGTACTTCTTCGGAAATAGCAAATAACAAACTTTAAAAGTGAAAAACAAAATGTCCGCTAACGGCCATCTTAGTCTGATCACGCCGAAACGTCGGCAGAGCTGGAGAAATGAAATGGCAATGAAAAAAAGAGAGAGGGGGTTGAGGGTGGGGGTGGGGGGGTGTGGCTGAGTGGGAGGGGGGGTGAGACACTGACAGCAATTTCAGCCATCATACACACACATTTAACTTTTATGACCCATCTAAATGGAGATTACGGTATTAGTTGTGAGAAAATATAGTGATTAAAAAAGAAAAAATGTCAAAATCACACGTAGCCACTGACAACCGTATTGAATATTAATAATACCGAAGAGTGAAGAGAGAGAGAGACATATTGAGAAGATAGGAAGAGGACAAAATGAAAACGGCACATGATTTACTAATAATGTAGACAGGGGAATACAAAAGCTTATAAAAAACGACACTGTATTGCGGCATGTACAGGAGAAGAAAACAAATATGGGTTGAACAACAATTCATGGAGTAAAGAGGAACTACAGTTGTGATATATACTGGGGCAAGACACGGAGAGAAAGAAGACAAACGGGAAGTATTTTGGAAGGGGGGAAATGAGTGCCAAACAACCAGACTGGGGAAAATAGGGAACCAAACAAGAAATACATAAAAAAAATATGTATAAAAACTTGTACTAAGTCGGTTCTTTACGACGCGTGACATCGTTCGCGCCATATTCGTGTTCCTGTGATTTTTTTTATAACTATATTTCGAACGATTATTTCAGTCCTGGTTGTTGTTTTACGAATACAGTATATGAAGTGTTTCATACCACTGTAGCCGCATCACCAGACGTACTCTGTATGGCACGATATTGCAACAGAATTTTTCCCATAGAAAATGTACTTGTATCTTACGTATGGTTCCTCATTCTAAATAACACTATGAGGAAGTATAGTACACTCCAGTTTGACATTCATGTGGCTCGACTACTTGAGATCGCGATTGTCACTCGACGTTATAATATAAACTCGAAAGTGGAAAAAATTATCTCATTGAAAGTAGACATAACCATTATACAGTACAATTACATAGTTTTTAACCATGATTTGTTTTAATCAGATTGGCGACAAACTTAAAAACGAAAGTAACAGGAGACTATAACTCGACTAGTTCTTATAACATAAATACAAAAGTGAAAAAAATACGACATTTTAGTTGTCCTGATAAGAAACAGAAAAAATTAATTTTATGTAAGTTCATCTCTTGATTGAATTACCTTTTAATTAAAAAGCAGATAAATCTATGCATATATTAATGTATGGTATCTTACGAAGCAATCTCTGAAGTAAGACCAGCCGTATTACGACATATATTTATTTTGTGATATCCAGAAATTCAAAGTTGATGAAGTCATACTTGAGCTTGGTTTACCGTGTGACATCAGTATAAAATAATCTCTGACATGAAAAACATATTACTTTCACTGGAAAATGGTATATTTTCTTGTATTTAATATCTTTTTCACCCAGAAGTTAATGATAATAAGAAAATTTATGTGAAAAAAGAAGACCCGGTCAACGAAATATGACATGTCATAAAACATTAAAAAGCAGCAGTTTGATATTTATTAAATATTAAAATAGTCACAGGAATGGGGAAAAAATGGAAAATATACTTATCTATTTATCAGACCGGGACGGATGTGTTATGTACATCCACAATTGACTGCACAATTGGTACTCTTTCATAACATTTTTTGAACATCCCGATGTGCAATGTGGTGCTTCGCTGTTAACAAATATACCGTTGTAATTGGTTGTAATTGGGTAAATGTGGTATCGCCGCCGACCTTTGTTCAATTGTCCTGTTTCGCCGCCGTCCCCCTCTCTGCTCCAACACACTTAGTTTGATACACTTGTCTCTCATTCATGATTATACAGTGTACATTTGTATATCATCATCATCATCATCATCATCATCATCATCACATGCCATCATACACATGCCATCATACTCCCAAAAGGCTCTCTCTCTCTCCCTCTTTCTCTCTCTCTCTCTCTCTCTCTCTCTCTCTCTCTCTCTCTCTCTCTCTCTCTCTCTCTCTCTCTCTCTCTCTCTCTCTCTCTCTCTCTCTCTCTCTCTCTCTCTCTCTCTCTCTCTCTATCTCTCTCTCTCTGTCTCTCTCTCTCTCTCTCTCTCTCTCTCTGTCTCTCTCTCTCTCTCTCTCTCTCTCTCTCTCTCTCTCTCTCTCTCTCTCTCTCTCTCTCTCTCTCTCTCTCTCTCTCTCTCTCTCTCTCTCTCTGTAATATAATATGTTTTTTATCACTTTTGGTGTTATGAAATATAAAATGCACTTTATCAATTTTTAAAAAAGAGGAGCATTCTATAAAAGTGTATCACCAGTTAAAATCCCAGAACATGTATTTCTTTTTCATGTTTAACCTTTAAATATCTGCCAGTTTTATTGTTTTATCTTTGTGTTGATGTTTCCGTCTAGTCATGGTCCCGACGGAGTGTCTCAGTTGTTAGGTTCTGTGACAGAACGTCCTATCATTCAGATTCGGGTTTGATCTTCCAATCTGTTTGAAAATCCACAACTGATTACTTATCTCTCAACTGACTCAGTCTATCATATTGTATTCATTTAGTTGTAAAACTATAATTTACAAAAGGCTGTCTAAAAAGTGTGATGGTGATGATGATGATGATGATGATGATGATGATGAGGAGGAGGAGGAGGAGGAGGAGGAGAAGGAGGAGGAGGAGGATCGGGGATGGGTAGATGAGGAAGAAGAAATAAAGAATAAATACAAAAAGGAATATCAATAATCTAAAATTGTTACAATGGCTTACTGTATATCAAGTACATCAAGGCGAAATCAGGTTACAGTATAAAGGACACAAAAGGACACACAATATTGGAAGAGCTCTTTTCAAATATAATTATCAGTTTAAAACCCGTACAGTGGTACAATATTTCCCCTTGAAAACTTACAAAAGCAGACCTTAAGTTCCATTCCGTCAAATGCGTAAAAACGGCAATCTCATCTAACGTATTTGCACTTGATTAAATAGATAAAACATAAATCTATAACTATACACATTCATTCTTGTATTTTTTATCCTTTGACTTCACGTGTATCATTTAGGTCCTTAACAAGCTGTTATGATCTAACTCTCATGGAACTCTCGCATACCTTGGATACAGTTTAATCGGTGTTTCGTTGTCACTGCCATGGTTCTCAGTTCGAGAACGTTACTTAATACGAATCGTCGATGATACAAAACAATCAATGACACAAATGGTCCTGGTTTCCTAGTAGCCCCTAGATATTGGTTTTGAGTAAGAACTTCTGTCCTGCGATTTGGGATTTTGAACATGCGCTGTATAACAATTTCACGGGACAGACATTAACTCCTGGCATTTGTGTACCACTATAGGAAGTGTTCAGAATTCCTAAACGTAAGTCACCGCCGTCGCCGACGTCAATGTTACTAAAGGCTTACATGTATATAAAGCTCTACACGTCGATGCATACATCACACCGCCAGTACACTGACGTTCGTCGGTGAGACGATACCCAGATGCGGGAGAAGTCACGGAGAAAGAAAACCTGTCATACAACCAACCATGATGCATATATGAGACAAGACAGAGCATGCATGTCTATAACTGAATTATAGTATTTATTTACTGAAGAGTTGAATAATACAAAGTAAACACACTAACCAAGGTAAACAATATGTAACAGCTTTCGTGATACCTGTTGAGTTATAACCTCATAAATTTCGCTTGGAAATATTCATGAGACACATTTTCTATAAAAAAAAATGAATAAACATTTAATCGTGTAGTCTAAAAGATTTTGATAAGAAGAAGAAAATCAAACAATTTCGATTGCGACGTTACAACGACATTGAAATCACGGACTAAGTCCGTGGTTGAGTTTAAGTAAATATATATGTATACACATACGAAAAGTAGAAATTTTTAGCAGTTTATTCATAAAATTGATTTGTTTTTATCTCTATAAATAGTGAAAAAGTGTCTTATAATATGAAAAGCAAGACCTTTCAGACTGTAAATAACCACAAGACGTCAAAACCCAGATCTGCATTTCTTCCCTTATAAGCTCGTTTGCCATATATGGTCATCTACCTAATGCGAAGTGTCATTCTTGGCTGTAAGCCGAAGTGACTCAGGTAATCGCAGGTGCGATCCGATTCATAGCTCTATTGATATGACAACACCTATTCTACATGGAACGTCAAGTTTAATTAAAACCAATTGTTTTGCATCATTTAATTTAAATTTACTCAGCAAAAGAGTGTGTTAAACTTCCTGTCAAATCAGGACTAAACTTTTACTTCCGACATAAGTCACGTGACTTCGACCCACCCTAACTCTCGCGAGGTCACAGCACACGATTATTCCCTGTCAGCAGTGAAAGAAATCAAGATGGAGCAAAAAAGATGTTCAAACCATGTTACTCAGGAACATCTCGATGAGGCAGAATTTGCCTTCAGAGAGGTAAGTACCATGTCTCTGTGGGTTCGATTTCCACCATGCTAGGAAGTTGACAGACCGGTGATTCTGGGAGAAGCCATCTTGGCCATAGGCGTCACACATAGGAATCCTAGTGTCCCATAGCCTAACGTAGTTCAGCATTCACAAGATCCTCGGGCCTATACTTGAGTTACACAGACAAACATGTCAGAAAATTGGGAAGCATATACCTTGCATACAAATGAAATGTTTACAGTGCAAAATATATTTAACTGTTTGTATTAAATGAAAAATCATTATTGTACTTTTTATCAATAATGTGTTGACAGCACCTGAAGAACTTGTTTGTTTGAAATAACGATTTTATTTGTTTTGAATAAAACTTCAACTGGATAACATAGTGTATACAGGTCTTTCTCCAAAATTTACGGACCATATATGGTTCTAGGCAATTGTATGTGTGAAGTCACAGTTGACTCACAGTAGTGTTTGCCCACAGTATGATAAACAAACGTGAATCATGTGGATGGTTTGCTGTGTATCGTACTTATATTATCATTTGATGCATGTATCATCTTTTCTTTATCTTCAATATATTGTCAGGTTTAAAATACAGCCTCTACATTATAAACATACTAAGACCTAGTGCACACCTGTATTTTTGTACCTGTGTACACATGTGATTGGTGGCCTTAAAAGGCTGTCACAGGTGTTCCCATTTTATTCAATAGTGCAGAAAAGTACATGACAAATATACCCATTCACAATATTTACATTTCTTGTGATAGTGTGTACTGTATTTTAACATTTATCTGATTTTGAGATAATTTGGTTTGTTGTAAAGAAGAATTAAATTGATAACTTTGATAATATTGATATTTTATTTGGGCTTGCCATGTTGCAGAACATAGTGATATACAAGTAACAGGGGAATATTTTGAATGTTAAGTTGGTATGTAATCTATTGAGTACACATTGTACCACAGCAGTGACAGCACTTAAAATAGGTTGTTTGAATTGTGTGTATTGATATATGAGAATGATAAACAAGGTTGGTTTTATCAGTAGCATATATGTTTACGATTTCACAGGGACGGAGATACTTGTGTTAACTACAAATAGCAAGTCTGATTTATTATTGTTAGTTATCCTATGATAGGTAAACCGTCCTATCTTTATCAAAATGGAATAAAGGACTTGAAGGGACATGACAGTAAAATGTAATTGTTTTCATCTGGAAGTATGGCTTAATAACACCTCAACACTTAGTCATATGTACATCTTAAATGTCCGTTTGACGCTTATTCAGCAAACCATGTAAAGTATGTCGCTTGTGATATATATTATGACTCGTAAACAAATTTCAAAATAAGGCAGTCACATTTATTTATGATGCAAATTTGTATCAATATCCATTGACTAAGCACTAGTTTGATGTGGAAATAATTCATAAATAGGTTGACACATAGTATGTAAGTGCTTAGACATTTATCATTTCATTGTGGCCCCTCAAGGGCCCCACTTTACAACACACCCTTGTCAGCATTGATTCACTACAACACGAGCAGTTTCCTCAGTGCTGCAGTGATTATTTTCTTGTTTTAGATATAATTTTTCCACCTTACATGCTGACATCATTTCCTGTTCCTTTGGCTATTGGTGTAGAGCAGAAAAGTTTACAGAGATCTTGCATTTCTAGTAGTGACGGGCCAAAAATTAAAAAAAATTGAAAGTTGATATAATAATATGGATCAAGGAAATTAAATTTATCAATATTAGATATGCAGATAAGTCTGAAGAGTTCAGAAATGACTCCTGAGTTTGAGGAAATGCAAAAATCAGGTGTACTTTCTTCTGTAAAATTATTCATTAAGAGGTAAATTACAGCCATCAGCCTCACAAGCCAAATACAATGTCATCTGAAGTCATTTAAGTACCGTAACAAATTCAAACATAATACAGTAAATGAACAGTGATTTCTAACAATACTGCAACACAGGAAACAAATAATATCTAATTTGCTGGTATGTTTCGAAACAGATGTTAATCAGTAATTGCTTATTTACTGCCTTGGATGGGGTATTTCCTATACATTTATTTTCTTCACCATAAGAATTTATAAACATTGTACATAGTCACTAAAAATCATTTGTTTATGTGGGAAATTCACATGGTATGAGCATTTTCATTGCACTTGGTCCTTGTGGCTAAGTGAAATGCAACTGAGCTTAGGCCAAGCTACAAAAATGGATATGTTTTACATGTTCAAATAAAGGTCAGTGATCAGATTTGGTAAGTACTTACTGATAAGTACTAAACATATGTGTGTATCAAAAGAGTATGTCCAATTAAGGATTGCTACGTATTCAATTGTGAGAAGAATGAAATGGCATGTTTTTCTCTCAGTATGGAGTATGCAGCAAACAAACTGAACTGTTATCACCCAAGAGCTTGAACTACTGGTCTGAAGGTTATGTGGCATGGTAGCAGGCAAGGAAACTCCCTTTTATCGATCTGAATATAAAAAGAATTATCTACAACAGCCCATCCCCACCTAGCGACACAATAATCTGATACAACTTTTAACACAGTGAGTGAACTCTTACAGAGATTAACAATTCAGGTTATCCTATTTAGTTAGATATGGAGTGATATTTTGTGTTGAATTCAAAGATGTCGGACCAAATTTGAATTTGATCAGTTATTTTATATAAGCCTTATTGTATGACAATGAAGCAAAGCTGTTCAGGTTTTAAAATAATAAAGCATTATAAGTTTAGAAATTATTATTCAACAAATTGTAGGGAATTTTAAGTTTTGAATGATAAGTACATTATGTGTCAGTTAAAAACTTCTATCACTTATATGACTGTGTGGTGATCCTATGAAAAAATTGATAGAAGGATTTGCTTGGTGCCTTTTGCTCTATTGAAGGAAAATTCACTGTTATTGAAATTTAACAATCTCGATGAAAAAGTATAATTTAATAACGGGGAAAAAATTAAACAAAATTGTATTCTCAAGTTGATGTTGTTGGCAAAAAGGAAAAAATGGAAATCAATTTCACAACCACTTAGCAGCCTTTACGTACTTACTGGTCAAGGCTGACCAGCCATAATAAATCAAGTTTTTAGTGTTTAAAAAGTACTTGCAAATCAGTATGTTGAGTAACATATTTGACATTTAGTAGCTATTTCCGTAATCCATCATAATACCTTTTATTTCTGCTAGCTTTAAGCCCAAACTAGTCATCTTGGCAAAGTTATGGGAAGTTAGGTACCTGTTAATGAAGTGGTAATGATCTTATCTGTCTGTTAAATTCCAGAGAATGAATGAAGACCTACAGTTACTGGTCTATGCCCCGGGGGGGAACTGTCTGAGTACTCAACACTAAACTATTTGTACACGTGTGTAATCAACAGGTATGCTGTAAACAAACTGACCATTTGTTATGCTGGTTAATTTGTAAAGGTGTAACAGGCCATGCATGACTAAATAAGATATACTAAGTGGTGGAATTTTATGTAACACACATAATAAAACCTACTTGTCAGAGATATTGTAACTCTCATCTAGCTTTAGCTTAACTGAGCCAGAGAATACCTGGGTATACCTTTATTTAAATGCACTGTTACAGGTACACTCGTAGTACCTGTTCGACTAAATATGGATACCGTATTGGCCTGTATAAGCATTTATACTGTATTTTTGATTTGAAAAAGAAGTTCCGCAGAAAAGCTATAAATTTTTTATCTTTTTTATTTTAGTCCTTCAGATGATATCTTGCCATATATTCTAACATTACACAATTATCTTGCCCATTTGTCTTAAATAGTCTACCTCTGAAACGACATTCAAAATTTTACCTTGGGAATCAGTTTACACAAGACAGTTGTTTGTTCATATTGAAATCCTAAAATACATACTGGGAAAGGTTTGTTTATTTGAGTACTTTCCTTTTAAATTTAAGACTAAGATTTTTTTTAAAATAATTTTTATTAGTGTTTATTTTTAATGTCTCAAAGGAATTCCTCTGGAAATTTCAATTAATTTCAACAAATAATCAAAAGATGCATATGTGATCAAAAACTGTGGAAATTTTGTGATTTTTAAAAAATGTATTGGTTTAAAAGAAGGTGGAGATTAAATTATCAATGTTTTATTGTAACTTACAGTAGTTTTTGTTTGTGCAGTTTTACTAGTATAGGGTAATGAATCCCGCATTATCAACATTTATTTCAAAGTGATGTATGGACTGGAACATAAAGTTGGGACCTTAAATCATCTTAGCTTCACAAAACCTTTGTTCCAATTTTATAGGCAAGGTTTATTCATGATAATAGTACTGTAGTTTCAGCAGTTTGGGATGTCTGCCAAATCTGACCAATTTTACACTTTAATGTTACATTATTCAAGTTGTGCTGTACTGATATATGATCTGAGAAGCCTATCATACTTTCACCTAGCTAAAGGTCCTAACTATTTTGAGGTTACATTCTGAAACTGGAAAAAGATTATTCAAGTAGATACATCTTCGTCTTTATTAGTCATGCGATGTAAGTAAGACGGAACAAGATTTTCCTTTAAACACTTAAATACTGAGAATTTTTGTATGTAAGTGTATGTTTCTTATACAGCGAATAGATGTATAAATTAGAGTATGCTACTCGTAAGTGAAGTTTGCATCAATTGACTCATGATGTCATGGGTCATTTCCTGCAACAAAATTTATTAGTTTGAATACATATTAAAAAAGTGCACAAATTGTAAATAAATTACTTTAGTATTAATGAATAATGAAAGTCATTACCAGATTTAGCAAACAAAACTAAGATAAAAGACTTCTTACTGTGGTTAAGTGATAAAAGAATAGTTTTGCTGTAAAATTTTATTTTGTTTTAGTAAGCTGCGTATGCTTTTATCTGTGAAGTGTTTAAACCGTTATCTATAAAGCCAACCAGGATGTTCTGTCACTTGTTTTCTTCCTGATTGGCATGTGTTCATGTTCCAGACTCATCTTGAGA